TTTAAAAATCTACTCTGGCCCGTAATTGTTGACTATGTACTCATTTAACCTCAGAGCTTCTTCTTAAATGTTACATTTCTCTGGGAGAAGAAGTGCATGCTTTCTGTCCCTGCAGAATAAAGGTTGCTCCGCTGAGATGAAGTGTTAGGTGCTGGATTATCCAAACAAGTGAATTTAAGATCTTAATAAGAACCTGCTGCCAAAGTGCAGCAAACTATTGAAGAATACGAGGGCTGAAAGCACTGCAGTTTAGCTAAGACCAAAACCATGCTGTACTCAACACATTTTAGACATTTTAGACAGACAGACAGACAGACAGATAGATAGACAGATAGATAGAGTAGACAGATAGATAGACAGACAGACAGACAGACAGACAGATAGATAGATAGATAGATAGATAGATAGATAGAGCGTCGTATCATCTATCAATCTAGATAGATTGATAGATGATGGACGGACAGATAGACAGAAAAAAATTCTAAAATATGTATTTTCTAAAATATGTTTCTGGCCTAATACTAGACACAGATATAAAACACTGACAGAACTTCATACTCCGATTTAGCCGAGACCTTGTGAATTTTATCATTTTATCAGGCTGAACAAAAGGCAAAATGAAATACGTCTACCCACCGAATCCCACATCTAACACAATCTGACCCTGCAAAGTCCTTTCATGAGAAAGATGTGTATGTGTGTGAGAGCGCGTCTAGCAGGAGGAGCGCGCTGCCAGAGGGAGGTGAAAGAGCAGAGCCGCTCTCTAATAGGAAAAGCAGGAAAATAGGAGATGTGGGAAAAGAGTAGTGAAATCACCTGTTAGACTCCACTTCGCTTTCAGTGCTGAAACTCACAGCTTCTTAAGGAGTCCCAGCGGCGGCTCCCACGTGCGCATAAATCAAGCCGAAGTGTTTAGCCCATAGAACAAATATTATTCTGAAAGATTACTGCAAAGAGCTTTAATGGACACTCTGGATAAATGCACATCAAATTTCAATTTAGACTCCAGCAGAAACCTGTTCTGTCCAAGATGGATGGCCACAGTCACCTGCTTCAGTCAACGAAATGGAAATGATAAATTCTGACGTGGTTTAAAACGGCGTAAAAGAGAGCGCTGCTGCTGTCCGTCAGCTCGCATACAAACTAGGGAATGAATGACACTAGCCAAATGGTGCGTGCATGGAAAAGGGACTCGACGTGGCCGGCTGTAACTCTATCCCAGAGTGCACTGCTGCACTAATGCCACTACCTGCTACCTGCTCTCTCCTCCGTCTTTCCACTGGCATTTCGTTCGGAATCCCACAAAGGCAGGACTTGGGTTTCAGCTGTTGTTATTCATGTACCGGCGCACAGGACAAAGAGATTTGGCCACTTTAGGTGGCAGCGCTGTGGTGTAAATTGCTGTTATCGAGTGGCCCTATTGTACAGGATTAGGCTGGCATCCACATCCATGCCAGCTCTTCCATTAACATCCACACCAGCCCTCTATATATAACCTGTTTCTTACAAAAAAAGAAGGCAACGTTTAACGGTTCCCTCCGGACCTGTGATGGAGCGCATGACTATGAGCCGACTTGAGAGGTTAGAGGAGAGAGCCGATTTGGGCTTGACTGTTGCTGTGTGTGTGTGTGTGTGTGTTTGTTTGTGTGCACCTGGTATTCATCACGTTATGGGGACCAAATGTCCCCACAAGTATAGTAATACCAGTAAATTTTGACCTTGTGGGGACATTTTTGAGGTCCCCATGAGGAAACAAGCTTATAAATCATACAGAATGAGTTTTTTTGAGAAAGTAAAATAGCACAAAGTTTCCTGTAAGGGGTAGGTTTAGGGGTAGGGTTGGTGTAGGACA